AGCTCATCAAACCACCTTGATGTCCAGTCGAGTTTGTTTGGGTACACCGTCGCAACATACTGTCAACATTTATAATACATACAGAACCAATGATGACATTATTGAGAGGCAGTGCAACCTTAAAATGCCAGTTTCCTAACTAACCAAAATAACAAACCATTAACTCATTCATTACATTTTTCAGCCATTATTGTCCTACTGCAGGGCAAAGGCCTCCATTCCCTCACAAAACAATAAATTACCAGAAACTAATTTTTGATCCCATGAATCTTATTGGAATTTTTTAACTTTTTATCAGAAACCTTCACTACCTTGCCTTATATTCTGCTCCAGCTACTTCCCCGAGTATCGCATTGCAACAACAATCTTCACAACAAATGTCCTACAGATAATTAATTGTAGGAACGATGAATATTACAGGTTCAAATTCGATTCTATAGTCTCAGCAGTTCAAAAAATGAAGTACCTACCAGAGTTTTCAACTTAACTTTCCGTCACCTAAGTTTGAGAGATAAATCAAAGTAAAAATTACTATATGCGGTAATTCTACTTCATAATGTTACAACCCCATCGATACCATATCGGTAAACCCGCCAAATGTTACATATAAAAGTCGTAATTAACTTGAATAACCTCAATAAGCTTCCTGAGCGCGGGCTTAATTGTAGCGCCCAGAGCCTCCTGGGCGGTCACTTGAAATACGCTGGGAGTGCCTTGCAGCGTACGCGTCAGATGCGCTGCGTACACTGCCATACTCAAATCACACTTTCACGGATTGTTTTACTTTGAAAACCGCTTATAATTGTATAAAATGCAATAATTTTCAGAAAACCCATCAGCTGTTTACAATATTTACAACAGCTGTACTGTCACTGTCAAATTGCTATTCTGCGCTCCGTTTTTCACATACTTTCAAGTTATTGTTGGTATTTTAACTCAATATACGTAAGTTTGTTTCCTAGACAAACCTGTCCTGTAAAAAATATTACAAACCTTCAATTTAATCAAAACTCACGTGCGAGAATAGCTTTTTCCTTTATTTTTTTTCCACCCTCTAAGGAGAATAGCAATATATCTCGCGCTAGTCGCGCCCTATCGTGCTAGCCCAACAGTAAGTAGTCCTATATCTTTCACAAATTGCAACTGTTACAAATGATAACAGACTTATAAGCCGCTGCCGCGCAGCAACTATTACTTTGTGGTTTGGGTTTCCCACAAAATTTGGTCCTTTCGAAATAGTACATTTCAAGAGACGTCAAAAATATTCAGTCTGCTTATCTCTATTGGGAAAGACAAAAAAAAGACTATTATGAAAATTTGTATTTTATTTTATTTGTGCAATAAGAACATAGGTCCCGTAAAGCGAGTATAGCACCAGCAGGGTAGCGCCTAGGCCGAGACACACTGGCTAGCGCACTGGGCCGGGCGCGTTGGCGACCGTATTGCACCTTGTAACCATGTGTGTGCACCAAGCAAATGACGTCCGGAAGCGTGTTATGTATGCATGTACCTCGCTTAATTGACTTTACCTACACATATTGTTTATTTATAAGTATTGTTACTTTTTTACACAATTTGCGGATATTATGTATGAACGCCAAAAACAAATTCATTAAAAAATCAACCGTCATCAGAAGCCTCAAAACAGTGCATAGTTCTCATTGACCTACCAATAAAATAGTCTACAAGTACAGTATTTTTTTATTATTACAAATTTTGGTCTTTTAATTATTAATACATAGGTATATCATTTTACAATGAACATTATCACAAATGCGAATTTCATTTAAAATCTTGGTGAACGTTACAACTTTAAGATGAACAACTCTTACATTGCGATTGAAATTTCCTACACATGTTAGGTACTTTCTTTAGCAATCTAATTGATCCCCTAAATTTCCTTCATAGCAACAAAACAATTAACACCCAGTCTTTCTACAATGAACACTTCAGTATTGAAAACTTTAAATAACAATAATAAATTATTAACAATGTATACTGCCCCCCAATGCAAACATTTAAATAGACAGTGTTCAATTTTTATGTAGGTAAGGCACAGTCAAGAGCACACCCAGCTTTCCATTTTAGACTTTGGACCGTTGTTATCTTAAGCGATTTAAAGTCTTTGTAGGGTTATCATTCCGAAGATTGAATAATCCGGACAAGTCTGATATTTGCAAAAAAAAACAACAAACAACATTTATTATTCCTCATTAAAACCCGTCTAAGAAGATGACGAACCCGTCTAAAAAGATGACGGAACCGTCTTGTCGGCGCGGCAGTACATGTGCGTAGACAAGAAAACGAGTAAGAGGGTGAAGCAGCGCGGCAGCGGGACAAGAGTTTTATTTAGTTAGTTGCTAATAATAATCTGAGAGAAATGCTGTTATTATCCAGTGCAGTAAGTGAGAGTTTATAGAATTGCGGAGTGCATATTTTACTTTTTGTTCTGAATATTGTTATCCTAAGCCGAAAATGACAAATACGGACAAAAGTTCAAAAAGTTTGACATCGCCGGACAAATCCGCACGGATGGAAACCCTACATAGTAGAGTTGAATTAAAATCTTACGTGTCAAGCTGCACTTGCTCTTGACCCTGTACAGTGAACTTAAAAACACGCAGATTCTCAAAATCATGTTCAACTCAATTACAGAGGTTTTAAGAAATTGAGTTTATAGGAATATTATTTGTTTTCGGTAATATTATAAATCTTCAGTTGGTTATCAAATTGACTGTACAGGTCCCATTCATAAACACTACAATCGAAAATAAATGTTCACAAATATAAACGTAACACTACAATTTTACAATTTTCTAAAGTATTTTTTTATTTAAGTAGCCAAAATCTCAAAATAATACAGGTCGCTGGAAGATATCTCCACTCGCTTTCAGCAAAGCAAAAACTTTTGATTTTGCTTCGAGGACAAATAGAAGCTTCTGTCTTCTTTAGTAGAAAATTACTTAAGAACTAGGCATGTAAACCGAAAATGAGGTTCATAAAGCGTGCAAAGAATCTTTAAGTGTTCCCTAATAAGTTTTGCATTCCTCCCCCAACAATTATTACTTAGTCAATCATTAAATGATCCCAAGAAGAAATGAACATTCTGTACAAAATGGACATTACGCTACGTTTAATTTTATATAAGGCTTACTGCTAGGAACCAAGCTTAAAGCGATAGCTTACACTAAAATACATAATACGAGGACATTTCCAACGACTACATTGTCGCAGTCGAATTAACAAATTGACTACAACTGTTACTTAAGTTTCGCAACAACAAACGGTATATCGTCTGTTTAAAGGTAAAGCCACATGTGACATTTTAGTTTTACCTTTAAGCAAACGATATTAAAATACTGAAAGTAACGGTGCGTTTCAATATCGACATGTTCCAATCGCTCTCTTCTACCGGTTCCATTCAAAAATTGATACCAAAAGATAGAAATGTTGAACATGTGATTAACTTGGCACAGTACTTTTAATAATATTAATCCGCCATTATGCACGCGCATAATAAAGGGTATTCGTTTCGTGTATCATTCATCACATCGCGATAATGGCAAAGTTATTAAAATTATTCAAAAAGACTTATATGGACATAGATTCATAGTATGATTCACCGTATGGCATGTTTACACCGGGTGGAGTGCCACCTTCGGCGTACTAGTCCGCCTTGCCGAAGGAGGCGCAATCGACTCGCTGTTTACACCGAGTCGACTGCGGACTTCGCCGAATTCGCTAAAAATATGATTCTACTTACATATAGATACACAAAGTACAAATAGTTCGAAACGTTCAACAAACTGATCGGGCTAGTAGGTGTTCCCCGGCTCTCAGTCCGCGCGTCGTGTTAGGGCAGGGCCGCGACACGTTGAAACTCGTTTGGTCGATCGTCACTTGTCGAAGGCGGTACCGCTTCGCCTGACAATGTTTACGCCTAGTCGACTAGGTCGACTTTAGCAGCGAACTACGGCCGTCAAACGACTCGGTGTTCACACTGGGTAGACTGCCGCCTTCGGCAGGAAAACGCGATGTCATCTTTAGTTAGAAATTGTATCGTACGTTAAATTATTCGTTTTTAAAAAGTGACAGTTTGTATTGCTTGGGTAGCAGAGTGTATACCGTTTTGACGCAGTCGAGAGACTGTTAGTCAGCTCGAAAATCGATCTCGAGTAAATTATTAGCCAAGATCAGAAAAGGCAGAGCATATTTACGTAAACTTCAAGCAATGCACACGGGGCGGATACTTCTCTCTGAACTCTCGGTATTGTTAAAAATAAAAGGTTAAATATCAGAAGAAAATAATTACTTATTAAAAATTACAAAACTTTTGCTCTACATACGTTACCGTAGTAGTACCTAAAGTAAGCCTTCGAGTTCTTAGGTTTTCACGATTGTTACACGTAGGAAATGAAACTATTTTTCCAGATTTAAATCGAAGCCAGCCGTGACCGCGGGACCTGCGAAGGTCCTGTGACCCAAACGTTGTTGGCTCGTTCGAGAAACAAATATAGGCTTTTTATCCAAAAAATAGTTTCATGTCCTAAAAGTTGCTGCTAGTTTCACATAGATATTGGAAATAGATTTTTAAGAGTAAATAATATTTATATAAGGCTAACTAGATTTAAGTACATTTTGCTGTGCCCTGGCAGGGCCCACGTGATTCTACAATTTCATGTAACAACTATTTTTATATCATGGTTGCAATAAACGTCATTTCAGACTCGGAAGAAAAGAAACATTTCCAGAATTTGAAAGGGAGCTACAATCCATCCTATAGCTGGCTTGAAGTTTAGGCAAATACGGTCCGTCAATTGAGATTTCCGTTCGCACGATAGGAATAAAGTTAAATAAAATAGTTTATTAAACTAGATAAAATAGGTGATAAAGGTTAAGTAGCACTTAAGTATTCGTTTTGTTGAAGTACAACTATTCAGGCGTCCACTGCTCGTCGCACTCGAGCGTACGTCCCCATCTTCGATGTCGGCGAATTCGTATTGGAAAACGGGAGCTGCTCCTGCGCGGCGCGGCTGTCCCGCAAGCAGCGTCGAGCAGTCGACTGCCGGCGAACGCCGTAAAGCGCCCTAAAGCGCCCAAAGCGCCCCACTAGCGCCGCGGGCCGGCGGCGCCCGCGTCCGCGTCGGGCTAGCTGGCCGATGTGTTGTACTGCGTGCGCCCGGCCAGCTCCAGCAGGTAGCGGTCGGGGTGGTCGATCCAGTCCGCGGCCGATAGCTTCACCTGCGCGCGCGCACACCGATTTTTACGATAAAACTATAACCGTATAAAACTCGAGTCTTAAACTCTTTCAGAGTCGCAGGCGAAGGGAAATCTCTTTTCATTTTTTTTAACAACAGTTGGTCAGCTAATTATTTTTCCATAGTTGATACAACTCAATTAAAATGTTGTAAAAAGCAAAGACGCATACAGCCATGATGGATTGTAAAAAATAATTAGCAAAATTTTTATACACAGAATAATTAACATCAATTAGAAGTTCTGAACAATAAGTACTTAGATAGTATGTGGCTGAATTGCAATAAAATTTCTGTTTAGATAACATTTTAAGCAAATGTTCTAATTTTGAACTTAAGCAACCTCCTTGCTTGAACTGGAATCTGGGGGTCTACTCTCGATCTCCGTCCGAAACGATTACTGTCCAATAAGTAATATTCGACAAAATTTTAATTTGCATTAACAAGTGTCAAGTATGCCACTTTTTCACTAGTTGGCCAGACCGGCAAAATGATAGTGACGGAGTGAAGATATTTGTGTTTTCCATCCGTTACTCTCATCTCTGGACTGTATTCGCACTTTCCATCAGGCGCGGGGCAGTCATTTTGCCGAATCACAATAAAAAAAAAAAAAAACAAAATGAAGCTTCATTCGCATCACGCGTCTTTTCATTTGGTCAAGTATTGCTTATTTGGCAGTAATTGTTTCGGACGGATGTCGGACGGAGATCGAGAGTAGACCCTCTGACCTATGTACCTTGTTACAAATAAAAAAAATCTCCTTACCGGCCGTAGTTGCGAGGGTTTAGAGTTAGGCACCATGAAATCATACTATTTACGGAAAAGTGTGATGGGGGAAAAAAATATATCGTTGGTGTTTCATAGAAATGGCGTAAGCGGCATTTTGCAGATTTTTTAGTGGAGTATGTTTTAGGCTTTAACGACTGTTCTAACTATTTTTTACATCCCGTTATAAAATTCGGTTTTGGTTTTAATTAAGTTTAAGTTTTACTGACTGAGCTTTACTTGACGTAATATTTTCGAACAGTCGTTAAAACCGAAAACGTCTTTTTCAAAACACCGTCGCGCCTCCATCGCGCACAACGAGGGCAGTGACGGCGGGAGTGGGCGAAGGGAACGGACGGTACCTTGCTCTGGCGCTCGGCTTCGCGCACTTGCCACTTCTTGATCTCCAGCTGCGTCTCGCGCGACGCCTGGTCGCCGCAGCCCCACACCTGCGGGCACACGGGTCAGCGGGGGGCACGGGCCGCGGGCGGGGCGGGGGCGGGGAGGGCCCACCTCGATGCTGCTGACGGCGAAGGGCACGCCGCGGAGCGTCAGCGCGTCGAAGCCGGCGGCCACGCTGAGCGCCGGCTTGCGCGGGTCCGCGCCCACGCGCAGCCCCAGCGGGTAGCCGCGGATGGACGTGTTCAGGTACAGCAGCTTGGGCCCGCGCTCCAGCACGGCGAACGTCGGCAGCAGCTGCACGAGCGCGGCGTCGGGCCCGCCCCAGTACTGGTGCGACTCGCGCCACTCCTGCGGGCTGGCCACCACCACCAGCGCCTCCTGCGCCGCGATCAGCACCAGCGTGGGGCCGCGGTAGGCCAGCGTGTGGTGCAGGAAGCGGTTGGCGCCCAGCCCGTGGTCGCCGGAGGCGTACAGCGGCACCCAGTGCACGGGCACGGCGCACACCAGGCGCGCCAGCCAGGCGGCCGAGGCCAGCGCGCCGCCGCCCAGCGCCTGCAGCGGCCGCGAGTACAGCGGCGGCGCGGCGCCCGCCAGCAGCCAGGCCACGGACAGCGGCAGCAGCGCGTCCTTGGCGTGCGGCGCCGCCGGCCAGGGGCTGCGCTCCAGCACGGGCGTGGCCAGCTCCAGCCCCGCGCCGCTGCACGGCGACTCCACGGCCGCCTCCAGGTCGCGGTGCCGCGTGGCCAGCATGTGCACGCAGTACCTGCGCAGCGAGACGTCCGGAGTCCGTCACCCGCCCCCGCCCCCGCCCCACCGGCCCCTCCGGCCTCCGGCGCACCTGTGCACGGGGAACACGAGGCGGTGGCAGTGCTCGTTCAGCCAGCGCACCACGAAGCCCACGCTGTGCGCGTCCTTGTTGTTGAAGCAGCCGTTCACCACCGACGACAGCGTCCTGTTGATCTGCAACGCCACCCCGCTACGAGCCTGACTCTCTGGCCCGCGGCACGAGCCCGCTCCCGAAGGGAGACCGACAACGCAATATTTCATTAGTGCCAAAAGCGTACAAACGTCGCACGTTTCCGTACAATCCGTGGTTCCCGTCCACCCCGCTCGAAGAAAGTATGTACACAAATAACTAGACAGCGACGCTTACCATGAGGCAGGTCTGCGGCCCCTCAGGGTAGTGGTCCATGGAGAGCTTGTAGCTGGTGTAGAGCAGGCTGCGCAGACCCGAGGGCTCCATCGTGTTCTCGTCCGCCTCCGTCGCGAACATTCTGCCAACAGCGTCAACACAGCCGTAAATCAAACGAGTGGCGCTCTCTGTTTGTGACCACGCGCCGACCCCCTTTGCCTCGGTTTCTATTCGATTTACAAGCTTTTCTTAAATGGTTTTCTGGTATTCATTGTCCCCGAAAGTGGCAAGGAACTTCGGAAGATTTGTACTAGTTCGTAAATCGTCCGCAACGAGGAACGTTCTCACTTGACGTAAGTCTCGATGATGGCGTTGTCGTCGATCATGCCGAGGATCTTCTCGCAGTGCGTGCGGAACACGGACAGTGGGATGTGTTGGTTGCGGCATTTGCCCGCGCGGTGTACCCAGCGGTAGAACTGACGCGCCAGCTCCGGGTACATCGGGAACAAGTATTTCTGCAATTTTACAAAGACCTCTGCACTCCAAGAATCGGCTGCAAAATTTATCAATTTCCTGATTAAAGTCTATTCTTAAACTACCCAGTATTCAACATATTACTCAAACAAACAAGTGTAAATTTAGCGCAATATCCAATTCGGATTGTGTACCTTTTGGCGACATTCCTATTTAAACACTTGATGCAAATCTGGCCTTGGCTGGTGGCTAACGCACGCCACTTCCCGGCGTCGAATCTTAACGGTTGCCACAAAACAACTTTCGAATCGAAAATAGAAATGAGTAATTCTCATGACTTGACAAAGACAATTCACTAGCTGCTTGCGCGTCACCCGAGTCTTGACTAAAGACAGTCATGCAATAAATTTTGGTACCCATAATTTAACATAGGAAAGTATGCTTGCTAATCAATTTTATTTATTGAATTTAATTAACTGCCTCCGTGGCCGAAAGGTTGCCACGCAGAAGTCCTGGGTTCGATTCCCAGGCCGGGAAAAATATGTGTATTGCCTACATTTATTTCTCTTACTTTATTTATATGTGGGTTGTCCATGACACCCGCGACCCAGGGTTTCCCTAGTGCGGGGATATATTGAGTGGGTGCGTTATTACATTATTATTATAATTAAAGTTAGTTATGAACCTGACGACCGCAACTATAGCTGTCCCGGCATAAGAGCATACCGGCTTCTCTTTTCTGTCAAATATTTTCTTTTGGGTTCGCGAGCAAAACCATTTAGAATACTAAACTTGTCTGTGATCAGTGGGGATGAACACTTATAAACATAATGAATATTCATTTCTTTGAAGTCATAGGGTCGTATTCTAGAACTCTACTCAATGCTCATTTTTGAGTATGATTCAAAGCACTAGAAATCATACTCAAGTCCTTGCCATTAGGGTCGTATTTCCAATGCTTCAAATCATACTCAAGTCTGCTCAAATCCTGACTTGAGCATTGAGTAGAGTTCTGGAATACGACTCTTAGTTGTATATTTTTTTGTACCATGGCACAAGTGATAATCTCGCAATAGTAGAACGTGCATAGACAAACATAGTTTGTAGAATTTGACAAATTTAAAGAGATGGTGCATTAATTATCAAACATGCCAAGGAACGTATTTCTGCTCTGTATGTACACTTTAACTCGTGTAAGCCAAGTTATCAAAACTTAGCATAAAGATTTGAGAAAATAGTCTGTATCCGTGTCGGTCACGTGAGTGTTAGGTATTAAACAAAGCGCGTGGTGGCAGGCCTCACCGTGAACGACTTCTCGGTGACGCCGCTGACGCCATCCTCCTTCTGTGATCGCTGCGCCAGTAGCTGCACACAAAACATATTTTTGATGAATTCATTACAGAATACAAAGAGACAGTCGCGTGACGTGCAAATTCGATTTACGCGCTGGCGTTCGCGACGGGCTCCAACAGCTTCTGGCGACATTGAGCATCACTTTATTGGGAGCGAATGGCGAACAGGCGAATGTGAGCACATTAGGTTCGCCTCGTCAGCTCATCGCTCGTATTCCCCACACTTATTAAAAAGGAATCGGCCAGAGCTGGTCAGAAAAGCAAAAAAGAAGTAAAACGCGCAACGTCTTCTTAGCTCCGATCGGCTCTACGATTCCTCGCTATAATAAGTGTGGCGGCTACCTTGAACGGCACCCGAACAACTTACCCTCTGTGCGACAAGCACCAGCGGCGAACATAAATAGCGGGGCAAATCGTAAAGCGCAGGCCACGTTGCAAGCGGAATTATGCTAAGTTAGCTTCTTAGTTCACAAAGCTGCATGCAACCAACTATGCGTAGCTCGGTTAGCTTAGTTCGCGGTGTGAACAGATGTATGAAAACATGACGCGGCTACGTGAGCTAAAGCTAACCTAACTTAGGGTCGTATTCCAGAACTCTACTCAATGCTCAAGTCAGGATTTGAGTATGGTTTAAAGCACTCGAAATCATACTCAAGTCCCTGCCATTAGGGTCGTATGTCCAGTGCTTATGTTTCAATTGCAATCCTGACTTGAGCATTGAGTAGAGTTCTAGAATACGACCCTTAGCTTCCCTCGCGGTGTGACCTGCGCTTAAGATGAGTGGATGAGCTTAGGTGCTGTTTATAAAATCGCCTCCAGACTCGCCACGCATCTCGTGCGTGTGTGTAAATACGGTAAATCAATTATAAGTATATGTTGCTTTTAGAAGAATTTTTACATTGAGTTTTTTCTATTTCCTCAATAGGGATAAAATAGGATCATCTTTTACATTGTGCCTGTACGCAACACATTATATTAGATATTTTAAGGCCTTCCTTCTGTCTATTCAATTATCTGTTTCATTTCCTAGTGTTGAAAGGATAACACATTCCATTCCTATGACATACTTGTGTATTGACGCTTTGTTATTTCAATTGCAATGTACATGCTTTATGAAATTTCAATTAAAATGTCATTATATGGTTTAGTTACGTATAAGTAACAACAATGAAATAGAAGCAGGTAATCAATCATATGTCACTGATAACATAATCCACAAGTTGAGATAATCACATCAAATTGTACTGCAAACAACATATTCAATTTATTGGAGGCCTCACGAGATCAACGTGTAAAATGTTAACAGCACAAAATCAGTTGACTTTTGCCAACAGTGTGCGTAGTGTGATGTTAAATGGGTAAGCAATGTTGAATGTGGACTGTTTGATAGTGGCCTGAACTTCAAAATGTAGGATATAAAATACGAAAGTGATTACAATTGTGGGATTAATTTAATCACAATAGCCTCTATTTGCAAAAAATGAAATAGCTCCAAGCATAACATATTACATATTACGAATTGGCCTCTTTGGAGACCATGCCACTTTCTAGACTACCACATATATACATACATGAAATACTTAACTTATCAGTATTTGAATTCTTTGTTGTACGATCTCAATGCATGTGCTACACAGAAAATGTTAATAACTTAAATTTGTAAAAAAAAATTCAGAAAAAAATTAAGTTTATTTAATTAAATATTTATTATGATGACCTAATGATTTTGGGACTGTAAATAGTGTGTGAACAGACCTTGCAGGTGGGTGCAGCAGTTATCTTTGGTGTGGTTCTCTTTTTCTGAATGCCAAATATAGTCAGGTGTAGATCCTTCAGTTGGGGCAGACACTGATTCATTTTTTTGTAATTTTTTTCAACTTTTTATTTAAATTTGTTGTTTTTTCACTTTGTTAAAAAACTTTTTAAAACATGATGTAGATTTGTTATTTTACTGTAGACAAGAAGTAATCTTCTGTTTTAATTACTATGTGTATTATTTTTAATATCTTTTTCTCAATAAAGATTAAAATCTCAACAAGTGTACTTCACAATTTACTACAGTCATAGCACTGAGTGATGACCAATATCAGTGAGGAATCACTGTTATCAAGTGACATGATAAGTGAGATATGGGTTTACTGTGATTAATGTCATTCATTATTGACAAGGGAAGATTAGTTGTAGTTTGGTAAACATCCAGGTAGGTATCTAATTAGTACCATTAATTATAACAGTTCTAGGTAAAAATATATAAAAACATATTCTTAGTAACTGGAAGTTATAGTTTTAAGTATTAACGCTATGAGAAAATTTTATTTCTAAGAAATAACACATTTTACTTTGTTGTACTTTTTTTTCCTGAAAAGATATTGTGATTGTCAAATCACCCAACAATAGTCTAAACTCAGATTTGTTAGATCTTTTTTAATTGAACACTGGCTTCCACAAACACTCTGAATACTGTCCAGCATAAAAGACATTAATAAAGAAAAGACAAAACATTGACCATGATATGAAAGAATTAATAAGCCTCATGTACCAGTAACAAAGCTTGATTAACAATGTCTGGGCACCAAGGTCCCTACCAACGATGAGTGTCAAAAATATAGCAAACAATGGGTGGTGTGTAAATATGTGCTAATTGACACTTGCACTTGGGCACTTGGTCACAATTTAATAAAATGGTCTATAAACACTATTTAAATCATTATATTTTCTGTGTAGTGTCCACTAATTGATGTATTTTAGAAGAGAACTAAAATATAGCACTCTATCCACCAACTTAAGAGCTCAATCTACTTTTATTAGAACAATATAATAAATTATTACTAAAATTTCATAACATTTCATTCTATAATTACTGAAAAAAAGGATGTAATTTTTCAAGCTCACTCACAAGTATAAACTTAATATTGTGCTTTTATAAAGTACCAAGATACAAGCAAATTATTTAGCCAACTGTATTGACCACTAAGATTTAGATCATAGTGTCTAATTCTATAGAGAGCCAGTCAAGCAGTGTGGTGGTGGGACCTCGCGGCGTCAAAACAAACACTCGATGGCAGGAAGCCGCGCTGTTTGCTTTGATGACGTCCGTGGCCTTACCACGCGACCTTGTCCGCCCGTTTACGGAACCCAAGCCGCCCTCTTACAAATTCCTACCTTTCCAAGCTTCTCAACGGGTACCATGGAAGTAGGTTGCGGCTTTTCAGGTTTCTCGGTGTCGCCCGCGGAGCCCCTCGGCGTTGCGCCGCGTCGCGAACCACCTCGCGGCGTGTTAAACCCGCTCCCTCCTTCGCCATCCTTCTGTTCGTGGCTATGGTGACTCCCCATAACCGCACCACACGTTCACCTCCTCGAATAGACTATAACTAACGAACTCTCACTAGTCACTTCAATTAATTTTCAAGTGGAAAACTCCAGCACAACTACAAATAGCAATCATCGACTTGACAATACTTGACATTGACTTGACAATGACAGGTAAATTCATGACGCCAAATGTCAGACGGCTTTCGTTCAATAATTAGTCGAGCTCTGGAGCGGGTTGTGAGCTACAATTAATTACTGTGGGGGTAACTATATACTAAATCTATGACTGTGAATAATTTTTCGAAAAATTTCAAAAATTCGGATTAATGTAACTCCCAAGACTCATATTATCTTTCCACCCTGCTCATATTATGGTCCACGTTTAGAAATATGTTATGAAGTTCAGTACCACGCTTAGAAATATCTTATTATGCGTGAATTATAAAATGAACTTGTATAGCTAAAAGTCACATATAGAAAAATGAGATTTAAAATGATCTCACAACAGCGATTGTATTTATTTCGTGTAATGGTATATAATATCGAGTTCTTAGGTTTTCGCGATTGTTACACGTTGGAAATGAAACTATTTTTCCGGATTTGAGTCGCGTGTATTTGTTTTTTCAAACGTTTCGTTTCGTTGGTCACGGTTGACTGATTTAAATCCGGAAAAATAATTTCATTTCCTTAAGTATATATTTCAAATCATAATATTAACTCAACATAATAACTCAACACATTCATAGCCCCGCATTAGGGAAAACCCTGTGTCGCAGGTGCCATGGACACACACATAGATAATCATAAATTACACCCAAACTCACGAAAGAATTAAATGTAGGCCATACACATATTTTTCCCGGCCTGGGAATCGAACCCAGGACCTCTACGTGGCAGTCCAGCATGGTAACCGTTCGGCCACAGAGGCAGTTATAGTAATATTTCTATTAAAGATTAATTCCTTCTAAACTTTGCTCTCCTGATCACGTTTCCTTTCCTTTTTGTTTATCCTCCCGTTCGCGTTCTTTTCTAACCTTTTTTAATTTAATTTGACGTTGGCACAAAGTATTCTAGTGCCATTTAATTAAAAAAAAACCTTTTTAATGGCTCTATCGTTTTCGTTCAGTAACTTCAACTTTTGACTGATGACTATCTAATCCTGTACACTGGCTAATCTGGGGTCAGAACTGAACTTATAAGGTTCCTGCGCGCGCACAGGTTATAGTGTCCTTCTCGTATTTTAAGGGTTTTTATTTTTTTCGTGGTGGGAGGAAATACTCATGTTATACTGCCAGACCGGTCCTGGCAGCATGCCCGAATCCACTGGGAATTGTGCCCAGTCTTTTGCGTATTTCGTTAATTCTCCGCGCTATGGGTTTACACTTTGTGTCCAACATTGTGGTATTTGTGAAATGTTAGCTCAAGGCTTAGGTGTGAGCGATTAGTGATGGTGATTTACTGTTTGGTGGCGTGCATTATGTGGTTCGGAGTAGCTGTTTGTGATTATGATAGGATACCGGCTAATATACGTTAGGTTATGAATTTAATTAAATAATAATGGTAATAACAACAAAAATAAACAAAAAAAAATATTAATAATAATAATAATGCGACATAACAAGAATCAATATACATATATTATATTTATATATTTAACATAAAATTATAATAGTGAGGCAATTCAGTTATATTAATTATGTATGTATGTACCATTCAAGCCCTTAAGATTTGAAATGTTGTGAGTAAGAAGGTGTGAAAACTTTCTGATGATGATTCTTTAGTGAGAAAACCACGAATGTCTTTTGAGTTTACTCGGAGGTTTTGACAGGTTATTATGTGATTGTGTTTGCTAGAAGCAAATCTTGGACAGTCATAAAATGGTCATAAAGGAGGTGCGCTAATGTTTGTTTTATTTGTGCCCTAGGGTCACATGGACAGTGGTTGTCGGCAGTTATGCCAAAACGGTGAAGATACTCCTTTTGATATCCATGATTGCTTAAGTATTGAGTGAATATAGAGAAATTAGGTAGGTGTTGGATGTATTCGTTGAGATCATCGTATGTGGGAAAAATTTAAGTCGAATAGCCTGGTGTTTTGTGCAAGTTTGCTGCTGCTTTGACCGCTTGGTCAGCCATTTCGTTACCTAAGATTCCGCAGTGGGCCTTAGTCCACAAGAAGAGTGTTTCAGTGTGGGTTTTGTGTGTGTGTATGAGATTGTGGGTTTGAACAACAATATGATTGTAGCTATTGGGATTTGATATTTCTATAAGACCAGATTTGCTATCACAAAAAATGAGAAGTTTGTCTATGTGAGGTTGTAATTGATAACTATATAAGAGGCATTCTCTGATAGCTAGAAGTTCCGATTGGGTTTGAAGATGACAAACGCTGATCCGAATTTATCATCGTGCCGGCTTCCATCCGTGTAAGCGTTCCATGAATTGGTGTGTGTATGTGATAAGGTGATTTCTAAAAGTTCTGATTGGTTATTAATCTCAGTGTATGGTATAATACTCCGGAGCGCGGGGTCTAAAAGGGATAACGGTGCAGCTGGTTTTTTCTATAGTGAGGTGTTCAGGGAGAAAGGAAGTGTACCTCAAATATCACGCGGTCTCTATGTCTGGCACGTGTCAGATCTTTGCTGGTAAGGGAATTAGTTTTGCCAGAGCCGCGTTTATAGTTTTAAATCCATGAACAATCTTAACAGCAAAAAGTCTTTGTACAGATAGAAGTTTATTTATGACACATGGGAAACGAAGTGAACTGGCCCAAACAGATGACGCGTTTGTAATTATTGGTTCGATGGCGTGTTGATGTATAGTGCGTATGTTTTCAGAGTATAGAAGAAAAGGGGAGATATGTATGTAAGATTGGGTACCCATCTCGCCACTTTTTAGCTTGTGTGAAATTCAAACTACGCTCTATTGTCTACTACCATAGCTTAAAGATTTTGATTGGGTAAGGCTTAAAACGTGGAAACGACACAATACAATTTTAAAATTTAACAAAATTAAACTTACAGTCACTTGAGTAGGTAAGAGTTATATTACAATATTTCAGTATTTTTTTCATCGTACAGCCAGTCGCCATCAGGTGGCGTTTTGGTAAAAATGCTACTAGTATATAATAGCTAACTATTACACGTTAGATGGCGTTGAAACTCATTTTTCGTTACACTAAGACTCACGGAGCGGTTTTCACCCACGCCTGACACGTGACCACGGCATCTGTAGAATGTAATAGTTAAGTATGTAAAATTAGTAGCACATTTCACGGCGCTTTTTATGCCTGTAGTGGTGACCGTTGCTCGCGGTTGCCGCGGCGAGGTACCAGTAGAACCGCGCAGGACGCGATCACCTGCGCGCTTAAAAAGGCGGAACTTGTCAGGCCGTATGTAATTGTTTGTAACTGTAAACATTGTACAGGTTTATTTTTATTTTCTCGCCAGATATCAGGGTGAATTAAAATTTGCTTGTACATGTGTCTGATATCATGTGTCGCACATGAAAACATTTATTAGTTTTAAAACGCAACAAAATATCGAATAGTGATTTCTGAACGACTGGTCCATTGCAAAGAATATTGTTTATAGATGGATATTTACCTGACCTTGCGCTCCCATCAAATACAACTCGTAGCTTTGTCGTTAATCTTTCGGGACGAAGCACGCCGTGATGAGGAAGGAAATAAATGGGTCTGTTTTCCGGTAAACAATTGTCCATGTCAATTATTTTAGCGTGTCCTAATGTCAAATGTTCATTGAAATCTACATATAATGAGTGGTACTCAGGATCTTTATCGAAACGTTTTTCCAAGTTGTAAGGAAATTAAAAATGATAATAATTATTATCATATCACATATACGTAATCATTTAAGTCACATTTTCGTGTCATGCGAACTTCAAATCTATTATTGTGTAATTTTACTGATTCTTTAAAAATCGTTTCGCTATAATCATGTTCCGGTCAACATTCAACAAAAACTTCTGCCACGCTTTCAGTCTCCCACAATTTCCTAACATAAAAATCTTGATCAGAAATACTTTCCTCTAAATGCATTGAAGTGGAAAAGTTAATTGAAGGTAGCACATTACCGGAAACGATGTATCCAAGATGAGTATTAATTAAATTTAGCTCGTTGGGAACACCTTCTACCATTCCATCCTTCAAAACTCTAAAGAAGATATCGGCAGCCAAAAGAAGTGAAGTCTCCCCTGGAACATTGTAACTTTTATCAGCAAGTTTGACAAAGCTTGGAATTGTGAAATTTGAAATATCAAAATTGTTTTGTGGCAAGTTAATTGTAATCTTGTCCATAATGGAACATGTAACATTGACATTGAAGTTTTCTGTATTTGAATGTAATTGTAACCCCTTTGTCAACCTTTTTTACATTGTCTCCTAATGTAACAATGTTTTTAGAAAAATCAAACGTGGAAACACCTAGCTTTGAAGCTAAGCGCTTTGCACAAAAGGAAGTTTGACTTCCCGAATCAAGTAAAGCGCGCACAATGTACTTACTTGTTGCTGTGAACATCTGTGACCAGAACCTTGGCAGTAGGCAAGAGTATATTGTGTTCACTTGATTTGACAGAATGTAAAATTTAATTAGAGCTACTCTCCTCATTGACGTGAATCAGCGCATTGTGGCCTTGATTGCAAACAGTGCATTTGAGCTTGTATCGACATGGTTTTTCATGAGAATTCAGACTTATCTTGCAAAGTTTTTTGTTCATTATCAACTGAAGTCTTTTTGCCGGCAACATCAATATGAAATTAGGACATTTGTAAAGCTTGTGGTCCTTGGAACATGCAATGCAGTTGTGCACCTTTTTTATTTCGTTTGATACGTTCCTTGATGTCATAAAAAAATAAAAGAGACTGTAAAATAGACTGACAGATGTATCGACTTCGCAAGCTGATCAGGAATTTCAGGAAACCGAAAAACGCCGAAAACGATCCACTCTGCCCATTATCAATAAATTATAGGGTTCTGAATATCATCGTGGGGCGGAGCGTCCACAACTCATCTCATTGAACTGAAGAGGACCGAACGTGCTGTTTTGAAGATGGGGGCTGGTATGAGAAAAAATAAAACAATATTTCATTCCGTTTAATTTGATTTCATATAAATTGAATTTGGCTAATTTTAAATCCCTCTTTATGTTCTGCATGCATTTCATGGGCCTACAACACTTTTGCGCTGACACCCTCAGTTATAATTATGTTTGACATCATTGACTTACAATTATATGGACGTCGGGTCCGCGCTAAAAAGTGTCCGCACTTGTAAGGCGCTAAAATCGTACACAGAGCGCGACACTCCGCTTTAGTCTTCATTTGTTCGACTGACAGCGCGATACTGCGATGACATTACAATTTAAATTTCGAATAGGTTGACTTGGGACATTTTTTTCGTGGTTTTTGTATTAGACCCGTCGTCCATTTATTTGTAAGTCAATGTCTGACATAATGTAATTGCATCAAAATATAAAGTAACATTTTTTGTTGTTGTTGTTTCGAATATTTAAATTGTTTTGCGCTTCGCTCAATAATAAAGTTTACAACTTAATTTAGTCACAAAAAGTCATTCGCTTATTTGTGTGTCTGTCTTTCACAAGCATTTTCCCTACAAATGTGCATTGGGATATTTGTATAGGGAAATAATTTTTTTTCACACTATAATAAAATTGCAGTTTTAAATATACAAGCCAGAACTTTTTATTCCACCCAGTACTTCTAGATCAGATGTTCTCAAACTTCTTTGTCTCGTAAACCAAGTGTAAATTTTTTCTGTGTTGTGCATACTCTTTTTTTTTTTTGCCTATCCATGGATTTTTTTTACAAATTCTCAATTCGAATATAATAAATGTTGACGCATGCTCAGTCAATGCGCATGCTACTCAATTTCATGAGTTAAACTGTAGAGTGAGAAATTTTATAAAAAGAAGTTACGTTTTATATGTATTGGAATAAAAGCTATCTACATTGTTTGTTTATTATGAAATGTTTAGTACATAGATAATTCGGATTATGGCTTGTTATTACAAAAGAAAAGAGCCTGCAGGAATTTCTGCGCTGGTGCCTCCAGCAGCAGGTACAGCGGCAGGGCCGATGCGTACGTCAATATAATCGTATTGTACCACTGACCAGCCTGCAAAAAAGGAGAGAAGAATATATGAAAATTGTAAGGAATAATGTAGTTTATATATGAATAAGTTTGCGATGTGGCGAAACGAGGAGCGCGAGTAATTCTGCTGATTAACTATGTTATTGCACCATTTAAATAATTTATTTTCACACACGTAACAAAAGAATCATATTTTAAAGAAATGAGAAAATAATAATTTTGTATACAATTCACAGAAAGATTATAAAAAAACAAAATCATATCAAAATAAAAAGAATGAAGTATGTGTGTGACAGATACGAGCTCAGGAAAATGTTGAAATCATTTTGCAATGTTTTGTTTAGGTTGAAAACACTGATTTTCAGCCCGACCCGGAATTGGCAGCTCTACGTGCAGCTCAATCACACACACATTGCGCGGTGTCAACGCAAAGTCGATGTTTATAAAATTTGTTCGGCTCATAGCACGTAATAAAACATTTCCGCAAAAAGAGTTGACAGCTTGCACAGACTGATAACGCAGAACGGAAGCATTGCTCTCACTCCTGCTTCAGAAGGGGACTAAAGTTTTACTCCGATTCGTTTGGCACACTCAGACTCAAGCCAACTTAGAGAAATTTGGTTCTTGATATTGGTTTTGTCCGAAACCACAAAGAAGACGATTTTAGGGGCAAACGAAGAACTACGCCGACGTCGTCAAGATGATTTGTAAGTATTTATTCGTTTTAGGTGGTGGGTGAAATGCAAATAGGTACTTAGTGCTACTTACAATTTCGTAGATGGCGACACGCGCAGTTTGCGTATTGATGGCAACTTGCAGCAGCACAAAATTCCAGTGCAGCATCAGCGCCGACAGCGATAGCCGTCCCAGTGTCCTCCACCCGCGCCACCCAATGAAACGAAGGAGCACGCCTGTAAACCGTAGCTTATTTCTAATTATTACTATTTTTTTGTAATAAAGTGGGTAATATGAGGGAATATGAGTTCTCCTCAGAGATAAAGCTACTTACATTAAGCTTACATACTAACAAACCCGTTCCCTCAATTTTCAAGGAAAATCATATACAATTATTTAAATTATGTTTCATTACTTTCTTTGAAAAAATTACTAAGTATACAATTTAATTAATTAGAGAATACGATTTACCCGTGCAAAATAAACATCTTGTTTTGAGCTCTTTTACTTACCTACTACACTTTATAACGTAAACACCTACGTCATTAGTTGCTTTATAGGCTCCATAAAAAGTTTCAAGTGATTATTTAATTTTCTTCAATAAATTCAATACCCTGTTTCAATCACTTTCATTTCATCATTTTCATACAATAGAGTGTCTATTTTTATAAATACTAATATTATTTCGGTTATTTCGGTGGTTTAATATTTCCAAATAATAGTTTTGTGGTCTTTTACCCTCTCGGCGGATGAGTTTCCAAAAATCCTTTTTTATTCGGTGCTGCAAAAGAAACCCTCAAAATATCAAATTTCTAGTTATTGCAATCTATTTTTGCCGCCAAGTAATAATGTCAGCATTACTTTGTTTCGGTTTTGAAGGGTAAGGGTACTTACTGGTGAAATTACAGGCACATGGGACTTGTCAACTTATTTATGACTCAGAGTGACAGGCGCACTGGCAGTGCGCCTCAGATCTTTGCGATTTAAAGAGCTGAGTAGCACTACAACTGTTATGAACAGGCGTGTAGCTTTCCATCAGGCGCGCGACTTGTTCGTCCCGTCACTTGATATTATAAAAAAAACTATAGTACCGATAGGAAATGAAACTATTTTTCCGGATTTAAATCGCGTTGACTCAGTCAACTGTGACCATGGGACCTGTAAAGGGCCCGAAACGTCGGTTTGTTTGAAAAAAACAAATATACGCGATTTAAATCCGGAAAAATGGTTTCATTTCCTACGTGTAACAATCGCGAAAACCTAAGAACTCGATAACTATAGTACCTATACAAAAACTTGGCCGTCATTACAAGTAAATCACATTAACAAAAAACATACTGTCGATGTTGTGGAAGAACCCAATGTGCGCAAATCCGCAGATGATTGCGTAACCAACTCGGTCGAGCGCAGCGTAGAGCGCCACCACAATCGCATCCCTCGAATGCTCCACCAAGTGCCCGCTCAGGATCCACAGCAGGATTAGGGGCAACGACCAGCGGTATAGAAACATTACCACCTGTGAGTAATTAGTGCAAAATATAAACGTAACAAAATCTCACTCATTTCCTGGAAATAGATTTCTCACCAAAAATAAAAAAAACGAAAAGAAAGATCTGCAACAAGCACAAAGAAAAAATCGTAAGGCCGTGTCTCAGTTGGAAGAGCGTCTATTACGGGTTGTTTGAAGGCGCTGGTTCGAATCCAGCCAGATCGAAAGAAATTTTCTTAGTGTTCGATCTTTGTATTAAAATTATAAATTACTGGAGTAATTTCACAAAAAAAAATTGAATTACATCGAACTAAAACATCCTGACATTCAATAAACTTAATCATTGCTTATTATATATATTGCCGAAGAAATTTAAAAATAACGTTTCCTAAATTGGTCCTCACGGGCATCACCTCAGGGCCAAAAGTCATTGTGACAAAATTACCCGGTTCTCCTGCGGCTTGTAACCTGCGAGCTGTATGTGGCGATGAAGGAAGGCGCACAGCAGGCCAAGGAGGGAGGCTGGCAGGCTGGCCCACGGCGCTGCGTACAACCACTTGAACGACGGTTCACCTACGTATTGGCCTCGCATCACCCTGGTTCACAAAGAACATTGGTGGTTTTAGCGATCTGCAGGCGTCCTACGTGCCATAAAAACTTTAAACACAAGCATGGTACTTTTAAGTGTCGACCAGTTACGAAGACACTTGCAAAAAAGGCACATGTAAACTGTGAACGTACTCAGGGTTCATAACCATGACTATGGGTTTGAGGCCCCAATGGTACGCGATAAGGAAGTTGGCAATCACGGAGACAGCCACTAAGATTGGCAGCACCACGAACGCTGCTCGCGGCCGTCGTAGCAACAGCAGCGCCAGCGCACACACAACTACGTACAGCTGCATGTCCACCGCCAGGAACCTGTACGTTGAAATGTTCATAACTACTGATTAATAAACGTGTACCGTTGTCGGCCACGTAGTCGCGTAGACGGCTGGAAGCCCACCAGCCGTAACCTGTGTGGCACAGCACCGAGACGGGGTGGAACTTTTTGCTCCGTCCGGCCATACCGACGACGCTGCTGTATCTGTCGCGACTACATTACTCCACAAAGTCTGAGGAGACACATCAGATACATCAGACAGAAAGCCAAATATAGCCTGAGGGTCGAGCGGTTGGAGTCGCGCCACAACGTAAATTTTAATTCGTTTATGGTGAGAGTGCCGACCGAACATCTGTCGGCCTTCATGAAGGAAGAGCTTTGGCTGGAGGGTGTCATGTACCGGCAATTCCGCGGCCGGTTACTTGACACATCGCCACAAGTGCAATACGTGTAAAGTAGTTTATTTTTTTGTCATATTATAGTGTATGTATGTCAGTCCTTAAGGTATATATTACATGGGTCGTGTGGCCTGAAACAAATGTCTAAATAAAATAAATAAATAAAAAATAGTAATAACGGCCTCACGGTTGTGTCTGTTAAACATAATAATTATATAAACAAGCACTACCGAGAGATTATTAGTTACTATAAAGCGACCTTATAACGTGCAAGCGGTAGAAATTCGTTTATTCCACAGACATTATATCTAGATATGTCTGTGGTTTGTTCCCTGTAGTTCCATGTGCACCATGTATACATGTGGGACAAGGAACAATTGTAACCCAAAAGTTCCATACATTGGACTAGTGGGAATAAATTTGATGTTTTTATCTTTACTCCCATTTGACTCAATACTGAGAATTAACCGACTAATGACAGCTGCGTCTCCTTTTTTATTGGTGACGTCGGCCGATCTGCGTGTCTGAGGAAGATATTACAAAACGAACGTATCTGTGAGTTTGTCGAATGTGACTAATCCATTGGGGTGTTAATGGAGGTAAAGTAACACGTAAACGGAAGTGATTGTGTAACAACAAAATATAAAAAAGGCAACGACGCGCAATGCTATTTATGTTTACGTTCGCACATACAAAATATTGAAATACAAAAAAAACCTTAAAACACGTTAAAAAAATTATAAAATATGTTTATCTGTCTTTCGATATCATAATGTGTAGACATGTTTTTGAAACTTTTATTTATTTCCTTTTGATCAGTGTCAACAGTCTGAGGAAACAGCTTTTTTCCAGCACTGGCGCGGTGTTATCAATTTCTTTGGCGTTATTACCAAGACTGTATGAGGCATTTCTCGTCGGGACGCACGAGGTTGTTGAGGAAGAGCAGATGCGCCCACCACTTGCTGCGACAGCGCGCGGATTCAGCGCGCACGTGCGACGCCCACAGCGGGCCATCACTCACGCGGGGCCACCACGTCGCCATTAGACCCACCGCAAACATGTGCACTGGCAGGATCCTGGGAAATCGTAGTTCGCATGGATTTTTTTATTAGAGCACAAATAAGGGTTGTCCAATACTAAATAATATATAAAATGATAAGTAACATTTGCACGCGATTTATTACATTTATTTATTATTATTATTATTATTATTTGTCATATCAATGACGGGACGAACCTAAAGGACGAACAAGTAGCGCGCCTGGTGGCACACCCCGGACATGAAAGTTATATAAGTCGAAAGTTATTTACCTACGTCCCACACAGCAAGGCGCCATCTGCACACGTGCAAAACGTGTGCGTGAAGTGGAAGGGTTACTCGTCACTTTCTCGTACTTATGTTACGTGGTCAGAGCGGCAATATAGCGAAAATTCTTAAGCGTATCTATTATCTTTAATTCTACTAATAGAATCGTAATAATTACACATGTTCATTAGGTATTTATGTCTATTTACTTAATATTATATTTTTCATTAATTCACTAACAAGAATTATATAAAAATTTATTTAAAAAATATATTAAAAGCACTTACAGTGTTATATTTTGGACAGATACTTTTAAATAAGGTAACCAAGGTATTTGAAATTGCGTGTCCATCTTTATCATTACCTAGTTAACAATTAGGTATATTCACTACGTAATTTTTATCGGCTATACAAATTGAAAATTCGAGAGCCTTTGTCTACTAGCTCGCGAGTTATGGCGTCTCATTATATTGATGTAATAAATCTGTATTATATATTACTCTGCACTAAATAAATGAAGAAAACAATAACTGAACGAGTCTCAGACGTAAATTTTTCATCTTCGTTTCATCTTTTGGCAAACGAAAGAAACGTCTCTTTATCCCATTTAGATGATAATAAACAGCCGTACGCAGCACAATTCACGACCATTATAAATTGTAACGTATAAGGATGTTATATATTAACGTACAAGTTTCGTAATGAATAAATGAAAACTGTATTCAAATATCAAAGCCGTCTTAGCGCGAAAACGTCTCGCCGACAGCCTTGTTGTCGTTCAGTCAATGTGACCGTCAATGTGCGGGGCGCGGTGCGGTACCTAAATTAGGGTGGGACGGAGAGTGTCCATTCTCGTTACTTTTTTGTTCTATGCTGGTGGTAAGCGACACGCCTGTCCATTACAATTGCAGTGTCACTCAAGAGCTTTAAATCGCAAAGGTCTGAGAGGGCATTGCCACTGCGCCGGTCACCCTAAGTGACATAAGTTGACAAGTCCCATGTACCTGTAATTTCACCAGCACCCTTACCCTTCAAAACCGGAACACAATAGGTAATGCTGACATTACTGCTTACGTACGGTACTTCCGTGAACGACGTCTTTCACAAAGAGCTTTACTGCTACTAAAGTGTAGTAGTAAAAAGGTACGTATTTAGTAATTGAGGTTGTGGTCAGCATTCTTTGCAGTTGATACATCCACTTCCACAGTTTGTGTATGTGTGGTCGTTATTTTTTTTTTACCCATTTATTTATTTTTGCAACGTTTAAATACATTCAAAAATAAACCCAGAGAGCGTATTTTAATACTGCAAAATACCCCAGGAGATATTTTATTTTATAACGCATGAGAAACATAAAATACATGAAGACAGAGTGAACTATTTGAAAACGCTGTGCATAAGCCTATGGCAATTTTATTTTTCTAAATTAATTATTTATTTTATGTTCTACCTATTTTAATTCTGGTCCACGTTTTTTAATTTTATTTGTTTTTTTTTAAATCGGCCTCTTCGAAAAGGGTCCACTGAAAACCAGCGCTGTGGCTCCACCGCAGTATTTGCTGAGTTGGGCCCTTTTCAGTACAATACACTTTAAGCATGAAATCATAATATTGTACATACTTGTAACATATGTTTGTGCTGAATAAATGTTATTTTCTTTCTATCTTTCTTTCTAATTTTTCAGATTGTTTAAATACCAGTATTAGTAGTACTACCTGCAAATTCTATGCAGCAGACATTGTGGAAGCATTCTCAATGAGACGTTCTTGTCAGGGTTCTTCTCGGCGAACAGTAGAAGGTTGTAGGCGAGCAGGAAGCTGGAAACTACGAAGAAGCCTTGCACGATCACTGACCCATTATACAGCAGCATCGTCAGTGGGTGCAGCTTCGCCTGAAAGCCAACAATGTCAGTGTTCACAAGTAGCCCGTGTTTCAAGTAGGCTAATAGAAAAGCTCACATGCCGCTTCACTAACACTTCTATACTTTATATTTTGCAAAGCGTTAATTTTGAATGTGAGCTTCGCATGCTGTTTGAAATTGTTTCTTTTTAGTTAATATCTAGTCTAGAGCCAGCTGTCGGCCCACCAATTTGAAGAGACATCAGATATCTACTTTTATTCCTTTTGTACATTTAAGTAGCGTTAAAAAATATAATATACTCGGAACCTGTTCCAGGACAGGACAGCCTCAGTTAAGGGCAGGGAGTGCAATGAACAACGTTGACTCGCCTTTTCGACAAACTCGGGGTTCTGAAGGTACGATATTTCGAAAGCGATCACCGTATGCGCCATCATCACCACCAGCAACGTCACCGCTCTGACACAACCACATCGTTGTTATTATTATTGAGAAATCTACAGCAACTACGCCTTAAGTTTACATACCAGTGGAATTCTAGGGAAATTATGGATATTACTCAAAAATAATTGCTTTGAAAACGATATTGGCTGACTTTTTCCTTTTGCCGTAGTTTGTATTCACACTGATTTAAAAAAAGTACAATATTAAATACAGTAGCTGCATGTGAAGCATCAAAGGCGTGACGTACCTGGTACCCTGGATCGGGTTGAGCGCGGTGAGCCGCGGGTCGCCGCTCGTGGCGTGGTCAGCGGTCAGCCGCCTCCAGCTGACACGCATCGACCATGGCAGCAGGTACTTATCCGCTGTGAACACAGTTTATGAGCAACCGTATCGGTTTTAAAATCTATAACTTAACTGTAATTGTACAAACTCATATACACCTCTCTGTCACTGCTGAACACTGCTCCCCGCTAAACAATGAAATTATCTACCCTGGCCTTACCTGCGGGCCCGAGGGCCATTGTGATTGACAGATTCACACAACTTCATAAAATATTGGTAATTAACTATACAGTGTGTTTTCTTTAATTGGTATAGTATGGGGAAATCCGAAATCATATAAGGTATGTACAAGGAAACTCTCTTAGGAACCATTAAGTCAAGTAAGTAAGCAATCTCAGCATAGCCAATTTTTTGGCGAAGGGTGAATTGTCCATAAAATGACCAAAATTTATTACTTTTTTAGTGCTGATTGACTCAATTTCATGTAAAGATCGTATGCCAAAATTGTTTTCACAAAAAAGACAATGGTTCCTAAGACAGTTTAACTGTATCATCTCCTATAGTTTCGTATTTGCCCATAGGTACTGTTCCAGTTAAAAAAAACACACTGTATATTCATTGGTAGCTCCTTAGATGGGTAGTTTACGCTGCCATGCAGGTTTCACACTGTCAAATGTGTTTCACGTAATTCGATAAGTCTCAGAGTTTAGATAATACTGTACCGTATTTGTGCTTCTTATCAGGATTCCGCTTTAAGTCGTACGTCGTCCCAATGATGTTCACGAAGATGATGACCGCTACGATAGCTGCAAACATCATCTCCACTTTATCCACACGCTTCTCGGGCACGTCGCTTCTCCTGCAGTACTCTAATTTGGCGAGTGTGGCTCGGAGTCCGTACTTGTTGCGAGTGTACTGATCTACGCACAGGACAAACTTCTCTTTTGATGAAGAAACGCCGATGTGTGAACATCGCGAGGTGATACAGTACCCGCGGTGCAGTAGCGTGTGGTTGTAGTGATGCCTGTCTTTTGAATACGTCTGTGGAATGGTGGAGCTTCGTTCGGCTTTAGATTGTGGTAAACTATACAAATACAAATTACATATTTTCGTACGAACTTAACTAGATACATTGGGCGAGCGACATACGTCGATTACTGGTAACAGAGAAAAAACGCTACAATCAAGTATCACGCTAATCCAAATATCCGAGTAAGAACTTGGGGGCTATTATAATTATAAGTGATAGACATAACTCACTGTCATAAAATCGAAAAGCTTGCTAGGTTCCAGAGGGCTGAGACGAAAGCTCCCAAGGCAGTAGAAGGCTCGACGCGCAGCCAAGCACGAATCCCAATCATCCATCCAGAAGAGTCGCGGCATCTGGAAATACTGCTCATCTAACAAGCCGATGTCGCCTGCGAAGGTGGTACATGCAAAGTATAGAACAGAAATAAAACTAATTAAAGGTCTTCACCATAAAGTGGGATCATACGGACTAGCATACGGGAAATACTAAGTAAGTTTTGTCGCTTTATATAGGCGTTTATTTCATCAAAACATACACACGAAAAAGTTTTTCACAAGCATGTTTTTTGATGGTATATCAATAGTTTTTACCTGATTATTGCGAAACTAAAAGGGGATTATGATTATATGATAATATAATATTTAAATGTATGAGTGTTCATTGTTCCCTCACAGAGTCTAAAGTAGTTAAAACCATTCCAACGGACCGACCGCTTATAACTCGTGGTTGCATTTGTCATGGTTTTGATTAAAAATCCGATAATGATAGATACGTCGTAAAATTATAATCTAAAAATCATCAAATTTATTAGATAGATGGATAAAAACTTTATTCAATTGCATGACAACTTATTTACATAAGATCCACTAAAACTAACACCATAATTATTTTTATATTAAACCACTTAAAATAACACATTTTTATAACAAAAGGAACGTATAACTACGCATACGTGAGGCGCACTATAAGTTTCAGGAATGAATAAGAAAAAAATGCTATAAATGGTCAGAAATGAATTTATTGTTTCTCAAAATATTCTCCGGTAGCATTAATGCACTCTTTCATACGCATGAACCAATTTTGAAAACATTTATGTCACTCCTCCGTGACAATCTCTGAAACATATTTTTCATACTCTTCGACAGCGTCTTCAAGTGATGAAAATCGTTGTGCGTAACTGGTTCTTAATTTTTGGAAATAAATAAAAGTCACAAGGTGCCAGGTCGGGACTGTACGCGAGATGGCCCATAAGGTCAACGTTGTTCACCTTCAAAAATTCATTTGTCTGTCTGGCCGTGTGAGAATTGGCATTACCGTGGTGCAAGATGATACGGCGTTTGTGCGTGATACGGTTATTTATTTTTATTTTTTTTGTTAATAATAACGCACACATTCAACATAGCCCCGCACTAGGGAAACCCTGTGTCGCGGGTGCCATAGACACACATAGACAACCACAAATTACACCCAAATTCACGAGAGAAATAAATGTAGGCCATACAAATATTTCTCCCGGCCCGGGAATCGAACCTGGGGCCTCTGGGCCTCAGGCAGTCCGGCATGGTAATCATTCGGCCATGGAGGCAGTTTTACGGAGTTTGTTAATAACTTCCGGCAAACAAATGTTCATGTACTAATCACTAAGTATTCAGGGTACAACGATTCTCCAAAGCAACAGTAGCCACGTGTAAAGTTTTATTAAAAAAAGAAGCAATCATCCGCTTAGAGGCACTTTGCACGCGCGCCAATTTGGTTGGTTTCGGTTCATCTCGAAAGGCCCATGCGCTCCATTGCTGCTTTGTTTTGGGATCGTAACTATAAATCCATGTTTCGTCACCTGTTACTATGTCCCACACCAAATTTGATGCCCCTTCGTTGAATCTGGTAAGTCACTGAGATTCACACGACCGCGTTTGAATTCTGCAAACCAGGTATAAGTAGTCGTCTTGCATGAAGCTTTATAGCCAAAAGCAGTTTGAGGAGGAGCGAAGCTCTGCTGAGCTGTTGAATTACACTTAAAGTCGTAGAAAATCATACTACGAAAATTTTCACGAGTTAAATCCATGGTGATGTAGACAACCAATTTCTAAAATGACGCCACGATGTAAAAACAAGTGACAGTCAGACGAAACAAACTGTATTCTACAGCCAAAGAGTTCCATTTTCAAATGTTGTAATTACTTTTTAAATATTGTTTATCCAAGTGGCCAGTTCCGGGAACTTATAGTGCGCCCTGTGTGCAACTAATGAAAGTAATAGTTTTGGAAGTCATGCATGGCAGTGAAAAAACGCTGGCTCAGCATAAATGCCGCGGTTTTCCACGTCCCTGGTATTCTGCCAGAACCGTGTTTAAAGAGACGCCACTCATCATCTCAGACAGTCCTCTGGCTTTATCATTTAATTAAATAATTTATAATATTATATATATTTTTATTTGCCTTGGTCGTCGTACGTGCGCCGATCGCGACAGGCATTAAATGAAAAAGCAATACAGTTGAAGTATATACCTACCAACAAACTACACTACTACATATAATATAGTAGTAGGTGCAGTCAAGAGCATGTCAAGCTTGACACTTTGTACTTTGGACTGTTCTTATCGTAAGCGGCATAGAGTTGGACGTAAGTGTCAAGCTTGACATGCTCTTGACCCTGTACATGTAGCGACAAAGTATGATGCTGAACATTTTGTAAAAAATGGTCTCACTTTATTTTTCGCTTCTTCAAGAAGACAAAATGTGTTAAATTTAAATTACGTAACGTTAAATCGACTAGTCCAAGCATAGAAATAAACGGAGAAAAGTTAGACCTTGTTAATAAAGCAGTCTTCTTGGGAGTGATCTTAGATAGTAAACTTCAATGGTTTCGACATATATCTTCCCTGGCCAGCAGATTAAGCTCCGCTGCATACGCAGTCCGCAGAATACGTGAGCTTACCGAATGTTAGTACTGCTAGACTAGTTTACTTTAGTTACTTCCATAGTATAATGTCCTACGGGATTCTCATGTGGGGTAAAGCGGCAGATATTCAAACTTTATTTGTATTGCAAAAACGAGCGATTCGTTCTGTGTACCGTCTAGGCTCTGGGGTTTCTCTCAGAGAAAAGTTTATGGAGACTGGTATCATGACTGTGGCATCACAGTACATTTACTCAAATATTTTATATGCCCGTAAAAATATACATAATTTCAATAAGAAAGAAGATATCCATAATATTAACTTTAGAGCTAAGTCCAAACTCATGGTACCACGATTTCGTTTAACCAAGGTAAACAACTCTTTTATGGGGAACTGTATACGTTTTTACAATAAGATTCCGGAGCATATATTAAGTTTATAATTTCCTAAGTTTAAAAACTACTTACATTAAAAATATTTTGATCGAAAAATCATATTACAAAATTGAAGACTACGTGTGAGATAAAGATGTATGGAAAGACGACACGGCTCCAGAATCCACACAAATTTGATTCAAAGTGTATTCCATAGCATTTAAGTTTATTTGAAAAGAGCAATCCCTAGAATTTCTTGCTCGTTCTTCTCGGGGAGGTCAGCGTAGTGAACGAGCAGTTGCTTAAATGTGATGTTTTCAAGAGTAAATTTATTTTACCTATGGAATAAATAATCTTTGACTTTGACTTTGACTTGTTCACAAATGTGTTCAATTAATAGAAAGCATCGAGTAAGTAGATTTACATAAAAGCCATCACTGACGTCATCTGCAGGACACACGAGTCGTTTGTTGTTGAATAAAGTACAGTAAAGTTGAGGTACGCCATTGTCGTCACTGTTTACGAACATAGATAATTTGTGGTCGTGAACTGTAGCAAATAAAAAGTATTGTTTATTGTGCCCAATAACCCTAACTACGTAGCAGATTTCAAATGTCTGTTTTTTTTTCAGTAGTTTGATTACATTTTTTTGTTGAATGTAAAATTTTCGTAACGATATTTAGATTTCAATATCTCGAAAATTTTATTTGATCTATGTCAAAAAACTTAAAAATTAACAGATATTGTCCTAAAAGATTGTAAGTACAAAATAATTGAGATGAAATATGAATCAGTAAATTCGCCATTCAACATTTCACCTTTCGATGCGTGAGAAATAAAACGTTATTGCAACGATTTTGAGGATCGTTGTGTATGACTCTTATGCGGCGGTAATAAGACACTTTAATGAACATGCTAAAGTGAATAATAAACAAGGAATCAAATCGCAGCGTTCAATTGCGTTGAATTTTCTTCCGCGTGAGGACATGAAAGGTGAGAGCTCTTTGCCTTCTCAATGCCATTTGGACAAAGGACGACTCTGTGCGATGATAAGGAACTGTTAAAGGTTAATTACACTCCCGGTCACGTAGTTCGAGCCTCTTTGCATTTGTATTCGTAAAGGGTAGGGTATCACCATAGATATAGGAAAAAAAGGGGAGATTTGGTGTGAGGACGTGGTTCGAGTCGCCTCGACATGGTCAAAATGCACATATCGAGGTGAACCGCCTTCAAACATCGCCGCAGTGACATGGCGATTGTTGTACTTACAAGATCTGTCGTAAAACGTGAAAATGCCAGGTTGTAGCGATACACCTTGTAAAAATTGGAGTGAAAACAAAAATTTTAAAACCAGTGGGATAACCACAGACATATATCTAGATGTTGTCTGTGGGGACAACATACCACTGCTATTTGTGAATTTAATTACTATTTCTATTATTTTTTCAATGTTTTCTTTTTGTGTCCATAGAAATTTCTAGACTGGAATATAGTGATGTTCATTTACGATGATTGATGTTTGTAAGTTTAATTTTGTGAAAAATTTGAAATTGTGTTACGTCGTTTTCATGTTTTAACCAATCAAAATCGTTAAGTTATGGTAGTAGATAATAGAGCGTAAAGTTTGAATTGCACACAAACTCAAAAGTGGCGACATCGGTACCCGATCTTACATAGCGTCATTACATATCTCCCTTTTTCCTATATCTACGGATATAACACAATAACAAAAAGTTTTCTCCGGTTTTACAAATTCAAATTATCAATAAGAACTTGCGGAAATGACGTTTAGTGTTTAGTATGTCAGTTTTAAAATTGCATAATAGTTTTTGGTTAATCAAAATTGTTTGAGCTTTGGACATTGAATACTGAAGATGCAAGGTGGCACGAACTACTTGTCCTGAAGTGTATTATTTATGGAAGATATATTAAAAAAACAGATAAGTGTAAAATATGTAACAAGTAAGAGAATAACATTTGCAATTTACGTCAAATAGGAAGTAATAAACGAATATCAGCTTTTGTAAATGTGGAGCATAGACAATGTGTGTAACTTAGGCACATTCTAAGTAATTAAGATTAGAGACACGGAATCACTTTGAGAACTGAACATACCCTCGATTCCGTGCGCGACCGCTGCCGCCGGCTCCGGCGCCGCGGCGATGGTAAGTAACGCCGCTGCCAGCCACAGCATCACGATGTCAGCCGTCGCTCTTCGCGCGAGTGCGCCCGCGCAGCTCATACGCTCTATATAAACTCTGAGTAAAGGACGAGCTACACCTCTCCTCGCCTGAACAAGGCTATTTGAGTAAGTTATTGTTTGCGATATTCGCAAAGCATAATTTCCCCGCTTCTCAACCGTGCCCTTCGTCCTGACAAATTACCGCACATTATTATTTGTGCTCCAATATTTTACATCTCACTTTACGGAGTCTCTATTTCATTCCGTGTCTTGTGTGGACTACAGGTGACTTCTTGGTTCTGCTACAGTGAGGATAATTGCGAGCTGTATTAAAATTCCAATCCAATGAGGAGTAGTCACCGCGGCGATTTGTTTGTTTACTAAAAAGTATAGTGCAAAAAGCTATTTGTACATCGTGAATGTAGTAGGTGTACCTATTACCAAAGGAAAGCGTTGACTTCTATTTGTTGTTATTAAATGAAATTTGAATTAAATTCTTTGTTTTTAATTAAAAAATAAGTGCGCGTTTGGAATATCTACAACATGGGGTCCACCCCAGCCCACGTTTGGTCCCCCGGTGACGGAAAGAGGAAGGCGGAATTAAATTGTGCAATTTCCTCGCACACTTTTCGCGATGTATCCAGTAGAATACCGATAAGCAGGCAACTTTACGGCGGTGTTCAAGACTCTGCCAACTCACTGAGTCAATTCAACTGAGTCCAAAGTGACCAGTTGGTATTTAGCAGAACCATCCCATAGGCGGCAGGCAGATTCATTAATAAGAAACGCAAAATAGTGAGAACAGGGAGTATATACGAATCGTGAGGCAGCTCTTGCCGAAAGTACACACCTCGAACTCCATGAGCCCTCGCGTGGGGAGAGCACTCCGTAGGTAACCACCCGCCAGCAAAATATTAAATTAACGTAAACAGGACGAATCTCTTCAAATCGTTAATTCGACGCCCTTCCGAGGAAGTTGTTATTCAATGGCTGGTCTGCGATGATCTTTGACAGTATGGTAAACCATTTTTTTAAGACGGTTAGGCAAACTATAATACATATATTCATGTGTAGATGTACCTTGTGAGATAAAAAAATAATTGAAGAACAACAGCGTTACCCAATCAGCTTCACCACAGACTACAGTTTGAAACTACCTTAGATACGACAGCAGTACGTACCTGAATGTGAGAGTGATACTTATAATATTAAACACAAATTAAAAAGATCCAAGGCCGTAGTTCCAACACAGTGAACAATACATACCTACCATATGCACTGGTTACTAGTCAGAGGTAATTGAATACTAGCTGTTACAAGAATGAATGCTTTGAATGCTCACCTAAGTGAATTAAGGGGATGTTAAAGACTAGTGACGTCACACGGCTCTGTGTTCACCTTAAGGTCGCTCATGCGATTGCAAATATTATTCGGATTTTGTTATTGACTGGTTTGAATATAGATTTAAATGGGTGGAATATAAATACGTGAAAATATTAACAATGGAAGAAATTGCGTGTATTTTCGAGAGAGAGATACCTATACAAATAGAAAGCAGGTGATCTACATTATCAGCAAAGTTGAAGACTCCATAGTCACAAAATAAATTTGTTTGCGGGGAAATTGTAGCTTGACTAGTCCCGTGTTTTGTTAACCATGTTTTTGTTTAAACATTTTGTTTATAGTAAAAAAAATATCTAGCCATTGAACGCCAATCATTGACAAGACCGCAGTTGCCTGCAAGCAAAAAGAATCCTCAAAGCGTAGGCCAGTACGGCATAGACTTTGCTGATCATACAAGTAACACAGTTTCAATTTCGAACGTCAGACAATAACTTGATTAAGTAATGTTAGATTAAGATCAGTATAACAAAGATGGAGTACCTGCATGTAGAAGTGAATACTTGCGTCTCATAAAGAAGTCTCGGAAACGAGTTTTTTTAATTCACGCGAGCTTGCGTACGCGGAAGGCTGCCGATGTCGCACGCCGTAGCCGTCCCACCGGACTAAGGTCGTACACGTTTACGTCAATATAGAAAATATTTGTTTGTTTTGAGGGAGTCACCGTGCTTATCGACGTGCAACACGAGCGAAAAAGACGTTGTAAATGTCAAGCGATTCGTCACGGGCGTAATGCATGAAGCTCTTTAAGCTGTTGTTGCACGGACATAAAGGTTTTTCTACGCTAAGAGCCAGCGCAAACCGACGGACGGCAAGGCAGAGTAGGACTTTAAATTTATCAATATATATTTTATCTAATTATAATTGAAATAAGGTACCTATCTATAACTTTCAATGCTCTGAGACCGACCTCGGAGCGTCGTCTCGTCGCGGTGCATTTCTCTCTGGGGCGTTGAATTGAAGTGCACCCTAGAAAACACCGTGTAGGAGGCGCTCCGGCGACGAAATACATCGGCATGCGCCAAGATCCACCGGTATGTGCTGGAATCCCTCGGTGTGCACCAGAGTCTGCCTCAATCTACCGGGGTAGTTACAAACGGGAGGGGTAAGGTATATGCAGGGGTGCACTTTACAATGGACAGCGGCGGCATTCAGTGGACTCTGCTTTATGCTGGCGGCCACTGGCGGTGTAGTAAAGGATAACCCTCATCAGTACTGTGCTCTGGCGGGGGTAAAATCCTCTCCTCCGTTGCCTGCCGGTTTGCGCTGGTCCTGTTTGAAATATGAAAGTTCAATGATCACCACCTTTTTGAAGCTGAGCAGCTGTATTCATAGATTCTATATCTATGGCTTTATTGATTCGTGGAAATTTTGCCTCAATCACGAAATTTATTTAGGAAATGTACATGTTTATACTATTATTATATTATATTATTATACTACATTTAAGCTTCGTATCATCTCAGTACACTTATTAAGTAGGTAATTATGTAGAGTCGGCACAATGGTTAATTTTAGTGATTGTCTTTATTTTAACACATTTAGGTACATCCAGCAGATGAAAGTGATTCTTAGCAAGTAGTTAAGTGACTATACTGTTTTTTTCCAAGACATAGTAAAATCCAGTTCATTTCCCAAAGATGTTGCGTTGTCCGCGTACAAGTAGCTAATGGTAGATAAATGTGATACAATGACTGTCGATTGAAAATTGGTTACGCTTACGCAATGTACAGCCGAACTTGTTTTATTCGCACATGTATAAATTTTTATTATTATTATCGTAAAATGTCTTAAACAATGTGAACTCCGTCCAAGTTCACACTTTTATCTAAAATATTTATGAAAAAATAAACAGCTCAACTCTTAAAATGTGTAATGTGTAATAATAATAATGTTTCTGTAGCATCATTTCGCACCTACTGTCGTTTTTAGGCGGATGTTTTATGTAGGTACGATTGTATAGCCTACAATAGGATAATAATTTGTATTGGAATAAAAGCGGGTGTCGATATTAGTGGACCGATTGTCAAAATAAGTATATTAATTATTAGAACGACATAACATTAACTTTTACTATATTTTCTTGCATAATTTATTTCATTTAACAATCTATAGACTGCACAATTTTATTAAGGCTTAGAAACAAGGATAGGACTGTCGTTAGCAATAACATGACTATGGGTCGTATTCTAGAACTCTACTCAATGCTCAAGTCAGGATTGCACTGGAAATACGACCCCAATGGCAGGTACTTGAGTATGATTTCGAGTGTAAGTATTATTAAAATTTTGCGAAAAGTGGCGACCTCGTAACGTCTTTTACTTTAAAAAAAAAAAAAAAAATGCTACACCCAACGATCTTATAATCAGGATCATTTTATTATTATCATTTTTATTTTATTACATGCCCACTTTTACTGACCTGTTTATTATATTACCTAAGGCTAAATCAAGCCATCAATAGTCACTATAGATCTTATTTAATATTATAATTTTTTTTTTTTTTTCAGAAACTAACTCACGAATGAAATTCACCATCTCATATGAACAAGTGCCACTAAATAAATACGATGAGCAAATTTGGAGTGGACTTTCTTTGCTCAAAGTTATGTCTAGGTGACGTAAATTTAGAATAAAAAAATTAAAACGTTGTTCATTAAAATAAAGAAGTTAACATCTTACACTAACAACACGGGACAATTATAAAAATGTACATTATCTTAACAAGAATAGTAGATTTTTATGATACATAGCTGTGATAAACGTACCTAACATTTAGTACGGAGGGTAAAAATAATTTCTCTGTTCTCAGCAGTCGTCTTCATAAAGTCACAAAGGGAAAGCGTAAACCCGTCTATAACGAAATAGTAGTCATTCAAAATTCGTCACTATGAGGTTTTAAATAAAATAAATAAAAAATACACTTGAAATTTTTATTGAATTGATATTCAATTATTTTTTGTGTAATTACTCCACTACTTTGTTATAATTATTAATACAAAAATCGAAGACTCAGAAAAAATTCCTTCGTTTAGGCCGGATTCGAACTTCGTATCTTGGTATTTGGGTTTTTCAATGAGTTTTTAGTCGTAGCGCCATCTATGAGAAATCCATGAAACTTTTATCACCCAGTTAGATATCTTTACAGTTACCAGCCCTGGCGAGAGATGTCGCTATTCACTGCATTTTAAATTTTTATTGAATTGATATTCAATTACCGTGTCAGACGTTTAGTTGGTATAGCTTAGTTGGTATAGCTAGAAGACGTCGGTTGGAATCCGGCCGGATCGAAGGAATTTTTTCTGAGTGTTCGATCTTTGTATTAGTAATTATAAAAATACATTTATTTCTCCAAAAAACATTACAAAGGCAATACTTAAAAACTAATAGAATAAACTATTGAGTGATGTGGACAAAAAGGTTAAATACGCAGCATTGCTGATTTTCAGTTTTCACCTGTAGTTAACTGTTCACTTGCTGCACCAAGCTAATATGCGGAGCATCAAGTGATAACATTCCTTGAGCAATAACTAGTAACAAGTTAATGGCTGTCAGCATAAAGTTTTTTTTTATTTTTATTTAACGTACAATTTCAAATTTTGTGCTGCTAGGAGTTTTATTAATTGGGGACCTATTGTTACTCGATTTTTGTACAGATAAGAGCCATTGCTTACGTCGTTTTTTAAAAGTAAACAGCGTTATAGCCTATTTAGCATATTTTTTTATGGAGGTGGAAGGTCATTCCAGTAGTTACTCGCTGCGAGACGCAAGGTGCTCCTGTTCAGAGTTACCTAAACGAGGGAGAGTCAATAACTGAAGGTGGGTACCCCAGGTATATCAAACATTACCGCTGTGTAACTGATCACTCCAGCTATGTTTTCGGGCCAGATCTCCAGGAGTCGACGAAACCCTCAAGGTATATACACCGGACTATTTAATTTTAATATATGTATAAATATAATTATTTAAAATGAGATCTGTGTGGAACCTTGAAACAACACCTAATGCAGGAGTTCCGAATTTGATCAGCAATTTTTTTTGTGAGACGTGTAGCCAATATTCTACTTCTAAGTAATCCTGTATTTATTAAATTTTTGTAGAATTGATATTCAATTATTTTCTGTGAAATTACTCCGTTAGTTTGTTATAACAATGCATTTCAACAATAAATTTGTTATAAAAATAATTATAACAATCCTGTAATGACTTATACTAGCGAATTTGTCAGTCTCACCCTAACAGCTT